ATAGAGATTGTCTGCAGTCCAGCTGCATTAACTTGTGTCACCTGTGAAGTTGTTTTTTTTTATGTTTCACTTTATTCCATTAGGCCTATTGTTAATTTTGACGGTGCATGAAACTACTCTCTCATTCTTGCACGTCAGTTTTCACCTGAATTTAGAGAAGTACTAAAAAAGATGCAAACTGCAGTTCATTTTCCACTTTGTGAGCGGTAAATGTATTCCTTTTTCACATCATCCACCTATTATTTTGCTGTTTTGATCATCTGCATATTTATGAAGGCAAACAACCAAAAAAAGATTTACATACGATGTCTGTTGAATTGCAACCATAAATCACTTTACACCTTCGTTGCAGATCTGAGCATACAAACACATTTGCACTCGTTTTAAAACACACAAACCTTATGAAGTTCTGGCCCATTTAGGTTCAACAGACAAACAGAAATGAGAATATGTATGATTTTTTTTTATACTTTACATGCAGGTTGCCATTCGAAATCACCACAAACTGAAGGGAAATACATTCAATTTACCTCCAGCCAAAACATTCATACAGACACTAATAGAAAGTTAATATGCTAGTTGTAATAGCAGCTCATAGACAGCTAACCTCTTATGTAGCAGCGCTGCAACTATATCAAGTATTAATAAATCAAATATTGAAACTGTAACACAATTGTATGAAAACACCATAATATAGGCAAAAAAAAAAAAAATCCAATGACATTTAATTCGTACCATAAATGACATCTTTTACAGTGGTCAAAAGATGCAAAAACACAGCAAATAATGAGCTGCAGAAACAAAATGTATGTGATCCAGGAACTCCATAGCATGCAAGCAAGGAAAAAACAAATGCATCAGAAAAAAAACACTTCAAAAAACGCTGCAATCCCTGAAAATAAAAGTAAAAATATAAAATCAAGAAAACAAATGCAGACAAAAAATTTTGCAATCAAAAACTATATATTCCAGTCACAAAATATATATATATATATATTTTTTTTTTATTTTTTTTTTTTTTTTTTCAAGTCTGCAGGAAAAATTGAGAAATTGGAAGTGAAAGATAATTAGAAAATGAATGTATTAGTTCTGCTGTATAATGCAAATGTGATGGATTAAAAGGAGAAAAACTAGAACACTTTCCAGCATTTGCACAACTAAAAAATTGTTTCACTTTTGTTTGTAAACTGATTCTTTTTTAATGAGCTGTCAAGTTTATGTTCAGCATTTTTGCACTTGCAAAGACTATTTTCTCCTTTGTGTTTGGATGACAAACAAGGCGAGCAGCAATTGTTGCTTTTCTCCTGCAAATAAAAAAACATTGTTTAGAAACAGAAACAAGTAAATGTTTTGTAAATCAACATCTCCTTATCAAGGTATCATTGATGTTTTATAATATATGAAATGTGCAATTGGAATATGGTTCTGCCATAACTTCATGATTCATTACTAAAACAGTTTTTCATTGTTTTTTTCCAATCCGATGCAAACCAATATTATTTGGGTGCAATTAAAGTTCTAGTGGAGGATTTTTGCAAATTTTTCTCCACTTTGAAAAAAAAATGCACATGCACAACCCTGTACCCGCTCCTGAGAGGGAACGCCTATAAATCGCGTGTGAGACCATGCACAGGCCCATTTCTCCTCATGCGCGCTCTGTATAAACGTTGCAGTTTGCATCACTCATACAAGCCTACTTTCCAAAAGATTTGCAATTATAACCAGTGAGTGAAAACTGGGACGAGCATGTAGGACGGCCTTACCTAAACATATCACCAGAATGATTAACAATTAGAGGACCTCTTATTTTGATGATTTCCACTATACCTTTAATAATAGAAAAGAAATAATTAGATTGGAAATAACAAAAAACTTCCACAAACTATCTGCAAGCTCTGCATCTTTTAAGTTGCCACCATCTCCATAAAATTTCATGGATTTAAGAGATATCACAGCAGAAATGTACTCCTCCGACTTTTCTGACATTCTTCACTGGGAGTTCAACACCTCACCATGTAACTGTGGGCCTTCTGTGCTCATGCACACACCCGGATCACACGTGTAAGGCGTCGGAGAAGCCGCACGCTTTCCACGGTGCAAAAAGACGTGGGTTGGGTTTTGTAGGTAGATCCCTCAGCTTTCTCTGAGAGTGACTTCTCTAGAGGGAAATAAGAGGAGGAGGAGGGGTCAGCCTTTCTCTCCTCTCTGTTCTTCTCTACCGATGAGTGAATCACCTCCCCCTAAAATAGGCCTTGATCTGCCTACACAGCATTTGTTTAAATGCTAGCAAAGAAAAAAAAACATAGACAGAGATTTATGCCTTGGAGTTAGTTATATTAAGAAAGGTTACATTTCAATTATTTTTACATGTCCCCGATGCTGTAAAATGAATTGCACGTTATAAAAACAAGATAGATTCATTATGAGGCGTCATGTAAGAGTGCTGTGCAATTGCCAAATATCAAGATTACCCTCTGGGAAGTAAGTGAATCTTGTTGACACTCTCATAGCTCCTAAGAGAGGCTGAAGTGTAAAATGAAAGGATATTAACAGGCAAAATGGAAATGCTGCTCTGATCATCCTCCCTCCACAAGCATCTGCTCTAGTAAAATGCACGTTGCTTGTCCAATAAAGCAATAGAACAAAAGTTCCAAAATATATCCTCATAGTTAAAGGACATATAGTTTAGAGTCATCTTACCATTTTTCTTTTTTTTTTTTTGGCTAGCCAGATGTGAATATATCTAGTTAAGCTTATGCAAGATTGGGACAGTTTTGATCTTCCTGAGTAATAGCACTAATTTTTCCTATTCCAATCATAAAGGATTGGTCTCCTGCGTGTTTTAGATGTGTCTCTACTCAGACACAGCTGATATGAATATGGACCCAAGGTAATGAATCATGAAGCAAAAAAATGGAGCCCTAGAAGTGTTACAGTTCTAGCCCTCAACTACAATTGGACAGTATTTGCTTTGCTATTGTAGTTTTTTTTTTGCATGTAAAGTTTTGTCTTAAAAGTAACCTTGCACTATTAATGTACCTTATAACTGTGCATTAATAGCACAAATATGGTCCGAATATCTGTGGACCTGCTCAGGTCAACTACTCTATTGTTGTATACAAAACTAATAAAAAACATTACTCTGCATCCAAATGTAAAGGTCTTTGAAACTTTTCTAATTTTTGCTAAATACCTCAATAATTGCATTCTTTTAATGCTTCATGTGTGCAGATTTTCAGTCTGCACACATGAAGCTCCACTCACCTCAGGATTTTTAATTCTTGAATTAACTGTTTCCTTGGCCTAATATATCATCGAATTGGCTAATACCATACGATGCCATACCAACTTTATTTATGAAGCGCTTTATGCACCGGACAGGACCAAAGTGCTGGACACAATCATAAAATACAATAAAATTATAAAATAGAAAAAAAACAAGTGTAAAATACATATTAGTATACAAACAGAATGAAACAAAGTAAAACCTCTTAAATCGTGCCAAGTCTTAAGAAGGGACTTCAAAGTAATAAGTAAATTAGTGCGTTAAATTTCATCTCCATATTAAATATTTGAATATTGAAAACAACACAGCTATAATTTCAAAATAAACTAAATAGAAGGCTGTGAATTTACACCTTTAATCCAATTGCAAACGCACTATACAAATCAGAAGAAACTGATTTAATTTTCCACAAAATGCACCCCGTTTCTTCGCATTTCTCCTGGCTACAGAAACCTTTCCCTTGCTTCTTGTCATTACTTCTACTGAGCTCTTACAACAAGGAATGGTGCAAACAACCCTTCCATGTGTATATATCCCTATTCAAATGGCATAAATGTTTTATCAGGGGTTTTATTTTTTGTTTTATATACTCTATATTTTCCCTAAAAATACATAATTTTCATAAATAATTGCTATTACAGGACTGATTTTGTGGTTAGGGTTAAACATGAATGGTGCTAAATATGAGATGACCTTAGAGGCTGTTAAAAACTTTTTTTAAAAGTGAAGGATGTATGGATCTAAGTACTTTCAGGAGGATAGGATGCCAGCATTTTCAAATGGCCTAGTCAAAGTCCTTTTAGACATTAACTCTAACCAGTCTGACTGAGCTAGAGCCTTTTTATAAAACACTAGAAGAAATAGTTTTAGCTGATGTGAAAAGAAATAGGTTAACATCGTATTGTCATTTTGTTTTTAAACTATGCATATATTGTCTTGTACAACTTTGTGTATTTAAAATGCCATCAAATTAAGGCTTACATGTTTAAGTTTGCGTTTGTACCCTGAATATGGGAAGTGTTCATGGATTTAAATATGATTATAGCCTTTGTATTCTTTAAAACTCTAGTTGATTTACAAACCTAATTGTGCTGTTGAAATAGGTGAGCAGGTTCAGAGTTGTGGCTGACAAGCTTGAAGTGATTTGGTTGTTTTGTTTTGGAGCCAGAAGCTATTATCTGCGTTCCAATAGAAGCTCCGGGATATCTCGCCATCCTGCATTCTCCTGATTTATTTTACTGTTGTGCTTTAAGCTTAAGAAGACACATAAACTCTTCCTTCCCAGCTCACTTTCCATCTCCCAGCTCACTACTTTCAAATCCATCATCAATCTCTGCTTTCATGTGTGTGATGGAGCAGCGCCACGCGACGGGGCTGAGCAGGCGGAGCTGGGCGTTTAGCTCAAGCTTGGAGTCTAATTTGTTTTGCCTGCAGAGGGCACAATCGCTATCAAGGTAACATGATTTGTCAGTAGGGAGGTAGCTGTAATGAAAAGCGCTCAGATGGGCTGAGGTGCCCAGAGGTCAGTAGGAGAGAGGCGTCCTGTCTCCATTAGGCCTCCCAGTGAATGAATAGACCTGTCTGCACCAGTATGAAAACAGATGATGAGCATCTGAGGTGGAACAGAGTGTATTTATGGGGTAGTTTGAAGAGTATAAAAACAATAACATTTCTCCAACTAGGTATAAGTCAATGTTCTTCTATCCGGTTGCAGAAAACAAGGACTACGATGCGTACCTGTCCTACACCAAAGTGGACCCGGACCAATGGAGCCAGGAGACCAGAGAGGAGGAGCGCTTTGCCCTGGAGATCCTCCCCGACGTCCTGGAGAAGCATTATGGGTATAAACTCTTCATTCCAGACAGGGACTTGATCCCCACAGGAAGTAAGCTCTCTCTCATGGTGATGTCAAGTTGTGTCCAATGTCTTGTGGCTTGGTGTTGCTTGTGTAGCTGTTGTCAGTGCAGTGGTGATGCCGTGTTTTGTTGGCCTCTGTTATGCATTTTGTGCCGTTGCATAACACAGACACGAAGGAGCACAATCGCTTTTGTTTTTCATCACTCTGAATTTAGCTTTTCTAACTAAACTGGGTACAGTTGCTTCAATCAATGTCCGTTTTAAGTAAAAACTACTTGAAAGGAATCACCTTTTTAAATTATTCTTGTATTAATGAACATAAAACTAAACATGGATGTATTTGATAATAAATTTCAGCTTTCTGAGGTCTTCTCATTTTGCAGAGGAAGTTAACCATTTATGATAATAAATGTTTGGCAAACATTTACCGGTAGGTATTAAAATCATAAAGCCCCAGTAATATCCCATTAAACAATAGATGGATAAAATGTTTTGAGTGTATATTTACTATTATGTAATATAAGACACAGGAATAATTAATTATGTTTTATTTTAATTATTTGAAGACACAGCTGTGTGTATGACTATTAAAGAATACTTTGTAGGTTGTAGGTCCGAGATAGGAGCATGAAACATTATAGGGTCAATGCAGTGTTATTTTATCTTATTTTTTTCAGTTTTTTTTATTTCTGTATCATTCTATTATTTTTGAATTTATCATATTTTTATCTTTCATCTTACTGTTATATTTTCTGCTTTATGTAAAGCATATTCAACATGTTTCAAAAGACTGACTTTAAGTCTGGAACAGGTCTTATTGAATATTCTGGTCAGATTCTAGAAACTTCATGTTTAAATACGTTTGGTTTTATTCATTTATTTTATTTGTTTTAATTTTGCTTTATTTGTTTTCTTATATTCCACAGTTTCATTATTTTTCTTTCTGCTATAATTTGCATATTTTAAAATCAATAAAATTTTTTTAAATCACATTAGTAAGAAAGGGCTTGCCAGTTGTCAGCATGAACTCAAACTATTATTAGAATTAAAAGCCTTATCCCAATTTATAACTTATAAACTATATAGCAGAGAATTTGAAAAAAAAGTAAAGAATTGACTTAAGAAAACCTAGTGAAGAACTGAAATGCTGCACGTGTGTCATAATTAAAATTTGTAGCATACAACTAAATACTCGATACCACTGTACTGATCACAACACAAAACCTTGACCTATTAATTATATATCATGCAGAATAACAAGAAAGAGGAACTGTTATGCTTCCCACAATTATTTTAGCAGCAGAGACAGACAAAATAATTAAAAAAAAAAAATAAAATCTTGTTTTTTTTTCTCTGTTTAAACTTATAATTTCCTCACTGATCATGGTGATGCTGCTCCCCTGCTGTCATATTGTTGCATCAATAAATCCCCTCATCCACATTAAAGTTGCTGCATTTTCCTAACTTACAATAATCTAAGAATGCCTCAAAAAGTAATAATATTTGTGACAAAAAATCAATCAAATTTATTACACTAGTGAGTAAATCCAAATATCGGTTCTCACATTTTGTAGCTTAGCAGTCACATTTAAGCATAAATTTTTTCATCTGTTTTAGTTGTTTTTGTCTTTTTTTTCTATGAAATGTTAACCTCAGCATGAAAACAATACATTTTGAAAGGTTTTACTGATTTATTTTAATGTTTTCTTTTTAATGCCAACAGTCCAACATTTAAAAGAAAGTTCAGAGTGTACAGATGCATCCGTTCTAAGCTTCATAATTTGGCTTCAGGTTTCAGGGAAACCACTAGTTGTTATAAAGAAGCGTTATGAGATTTGATCTCTGTTCTTGGCAGAATTCTTAGACCTCATTTAAATGTTTTGGTCCCTGCAGCTAATTCTTCTTTTGAGCATATTTTCAACATGGCAGAGGTCAGGCCCATTCCACCAGCTTTATGTTGGCCCTTTTTATCCAGGCTATTTCAGATTTTTCTTTTCTTTTAATGGTGAGAAGTTTTTGAAATCAACCACTACCAAATAATTTAACATGAATGGGCTAAGCTAACTGGTGTGCCTTTTGATTGAATAAAAAAAAAGAATATTACAGTTATTGTGAATTAGGTTCAAAATGCAGAACAGAGGGAAAAAAATCTATTAAATCTAATAAAAAAAAATCTTTCTTAAAATAAGTGCATTTTGTCTTGAATTGAGGAGGTAAGTGAGACACTTTAACACTTTAAATTATTGCAATTTCTTATTTCAAGTGCATAGCATCTACCGAAAATCCTCTAATACAGGACAGGGCCTTTATTTCACTCAGGTGCATCTTGGTCCAGGCCATTATTGGAAGGAGGCCAGAATTAGAGGCAGGCCTATTTTCTATTTGATCATAACAGACTACCAGTGGAATGAATAAAAACGAGATTTTGTGTCTCTTTGAACCTATAAAATACGAGGTTCATTTATTGAAAAAGTACAGTTACCTTAACGGTATACAGAACATTATTCAGACATCTTCCAGCAGCTGCAATTTTCTGCACAGCAATACAAAAAAAAAAAAAAAAAGACAGAATGGAATTGTTTTTGCAGTAAACCAGTGTAGATGAGTATCTGTGTCATTAGAAATCTAAATTATGTCCAAGTTCAAATATCTAGTTGGAAATAAAGGAGGAAGAATTTCTCCTTTAATATTTTATTTGCTTTAAAAGAACCAATGAAAGATATCCTCAGCATGATGGGTACTTCCACCATGCTTAACAGCTGGTGCGGTTTTAAAAGTCCCACCATGGATCCTGCCTCTCCTTGGATTCTGAAATCAGTAGACTTCTGGTTTGTAAATGTGAGTTCTTTTATGTTTCTATAGAGCTTGAAAGTGTCCCTATTGGAGTAGGACCTTCTTTAGTGGTTTGAATGGAACTAGTTTGATCAGAGTATTCGAAGTTGGATGCAGTTGGGTTTTCATACAAAACATCCAAACCATCTGGACGGAAATTAAGAAAGCCGACATTAAGCTTGATTCCAATTCCTTCTCCCAGCCAAATTGAAAAGCTGTGAAATATGCCCCATACTTGGAGCAAGAGAAAATTACTGAACTCAACAGATTCTTCCAATTCCGGCTGGATTCTCTTTAACGAATAAAACTTTTAATAGAAATGTGCTAAAACACAGTGAATCAAACATTAGAGAGGGTTTATGTATGTTTTTGAGTCTCTATGTGTAATTTTGACACTGTTCAGATCAAAGAAAATGCAGAAAATGTTGATCTAGTTTGTTAATTTTTAGATTCATCTTGTTGTATCACCACTTAACTTTTGTTATAGAATGGAATAAAAGCCTTATTGAAATCCTAAAATGAAGAAAAAGTGTTCCCGTGATGAATGTACAGAAATTTCTGATCAGTCAGATTTTGCAGAAATAAAAATGTAGTTGAAACAAAATGCAGCACTCACTGTCAAAGATTATTTAAAAAGCAATGAAATATAAGTGTACAGTAGGAAATTTCAGGCGTGTTAGACCCAAGTAACCCTTATTACCTTTGAATGCTAATCAACAGAAGGTGCAATCCTGTTGATTACAGTCCATTTCCGTGATCTGGCTCTGCAAAGACTCTGTCTCTGCATGCTGCTATGTAATGGTGTCAGCTGCACATTACAAAATCTCTTTATGCATGGATATTAGTGCATGTTTTACCATAGCCCATTCCTAATGGAGCATCTCACCATGGCCCGTGCTTATCTTTGATTAACTCAATACACAGATGAGTTTGATAATATCATTATGCTGTTAGCCTCCATTTCAATACTTGCATCTGCCTGTCTTTTTTCGCACATGCTGCCATTACTAAATCGGCGATCCGTCAGTGGCATTGTGCCAGGGTTATAAGCTGAATCTGTTTCTGTGATGATGTGCTCGCAAACCGGAGGGGACTGCTGTAATATGGGAGAAATGGCATAGAAATGCAAGGATCGAGAGGAATCTCAGCTACAGCTGCCACCATTTCAGCTTAGTGTCGCTGTTTACTGGTTTATTGTTACTATGCATAAGCACTTAGCTCCCATTGGGAGTGTATTAGCATCTGAACCATTCATATGACACTCTAGAGGCAGAGTGATGCATAAACAGAGTTTGGTCTTCTGGGGGTTCAGCATGTGTCAACAATCCAAAGTTTGGTTTTTGTGACATGTCACTACACAACATGATGGATTATTTTAGTAGCATTGGGGACAATTTAACATTTGGATTTGTTGTGCAGTGGATCTCAAATGTCCACAAATTCATACAGAATTTAAAGTCTTTTGTAATGTAAAAAACATGAAGAAGTTGTTTTTTCCACATATAATCAAAGATTTGTCCTGTAGATTTATAAGGAAGGATGCAAAAGAAATGATTAGGCTTTTTATTAGTTGTTTAGTTTGAATTTATTTCTAAAAAATATATTTTTTACCATATTACATTTTGATTTGAACACATTACCTATATTTCTTTTGATTAATAACTTATTTATAAGTAAAAAAAAAAAAAAAAAAAGATTTCCACACCCCAAATACTTTTTAATTTTCATGTTGAATCAGGCTTCTGCTTTTTTGTTGTTTTGATTTTAAACCATGTTTAAAATCTAGTAAAAAATAAACGTCTGCCTCACAGCTACTTTTATTTCTCTGAAATCATCCAGATGAGGCTAAAATCTTAAACAATGTTTTTGGTTTTAAAAGTTAAAAAGGAAAGTTAAGCTTTAATTTATTATATATTTTGCACATACACAGCATTGAACATCTGAATGAAAGAACACCATACCCACAGTGAAATATGGTAGTGGCAGCATCATACTGCGGGGCTAGTTTTCTTTCGGGGGGCTGAGGTTGCAGTTCTAAAACAGTTTTTATCCCAAACCTGCAGGTGTTTGCTGGAAGAGATCAGAATTTAAATGACATAGAAAATAGATTTAAAAGCCTTTTTCGTTTTAAGGTGGTCAGATATCACCAAGTCAAAAGGCAGGATAAATTTAAGGGTTTTTGTTCCTAATAACATATTTGTTTATTTTTTTTTATTTTAGTTGACTTGTACAGGATAAGTCTCATATATGTGGAAATGTGAAAACCATTAATCATGGTTTGTGGACACTTTTCAGAGCCTCTGTACCTTTAACATTCCTTAAAGCGTCACAAGTCCAGGATAAACTCCCACCAACTGAATTCCTCTCCTTATTTTTATGCCTCATGTCCCATATTAAACTGGAATAAACTGGTCAGTGCGATTTTCACCCAATCGCCACAATCGATGCTTCACTTGATAAACACAGTTTATGCCAATGCGTCCCCACATTTCCGTAACTGTTTTCACCTGCTCACAAATCTTCTGATCACGCTTTAAATGTAAATATCTATTGTTTAGGTTTCACCAATGATCATTTCCAGGATGACACACGACTACTTAGAGGTACTTTTTTTTCACCGCAAATTCCTCAAACATGTGTCGATAAACACAGACTCTGACGTGTGGCTAAGATTTTGATGAAGCATGTAAAAAAAAAAACTTAAGGGAAATCTGTTTTTGTCTGCTTTCAACATGCCTTATATGAAGTTGATGAAATCATTTTCTTGTGTCAAGCAAAGTATTTTCCAGAAAAGAAGGATATTCCCTGAAAAATTCAACCAATTAATGACCATCTGGGGTTTTTTGCAGGTTTTGTGATGAAGATTGCGGTTCTAAAACCAACAGGAAATTAATCAATTTAACTGTTAATTTTTGCTTTATGCATCTTACCATATTTTAATTGTGATAAAACCAACCTAAAGTGCTTCAGGGAACAGAGTCGCCCCTTGAAGCCATATTTTATTCAGTCTCAGTTTGTGTTTATTAAAAAGGGGTGTTTTGCCATGTTTCTAATTTTTTTTAATTTTCAACACTTAAAGGAAAATTCCGGTTTTTAACACTTTTAGCCCCTTTTCTGTAGTGTCCAGGATGAAATCGAATGATCGACACCAAAATTTTGACGATTGGTCCTGTCTCTGCTATTTGGCTCATGCAGAATCCCCCCCTGGCTGCTTCAGAATGGCTTCCATAGAGCATGTCCGATAATGTCCTTAAAACAACCTTAAACGTTCTCTTTTTAAAATATGCTACTCACCGGGTCGTCAGCGCTGTTCAATGACGTTCCAAAAAAAGTTTCGTGAAGAAAAACCGTTCCTGTAATGTTTTATTTAGCATTTTGTAAATCCCATTGAGTTCTGTTGGAATAGTCAATATCCCTCCGCCACCGGAAACGGAAAGGGGGCCTGTTTACGCTTAGTTGTAGTCTTTTCGCAAGGCCCAAGTGTTTCTGCTTCACTCTGTGTACTCCTGTTAAACACTTTAAAAAACTCTGAAAATGGAATACGAAAGGTGGATTCTTGAGGAGGACATATTCATATACATTCCCAAAGTATAGAGACATTGTCGCCAACTAGTGGTATGGAGTGTGCAACGCTTCAGATTCGAACGGGAAGCGGAAGTTTATAAGCGGTTGTGATGTATCGGAAAAAATAGTTCTGGGATTTACAAAATGCTAAATAAAACAAGACAGGACCTTTTTCTTCACAAAACTTTTTTTGGAACGTCATTGAACAGCGCTGACGACCCGGTGAGTAGCATATTTTAAAAAAAGAACGTTTAAGGTTGTTTTAAGGACATTATCGGACATGCACTATGGAAGCCATTCTGAAGCAGCCAGGGGGGGATTCTGCATGAGCCAAATAGCAGAGACAGGACCAGTCGTCAAAATTTTGGTGTCGATCATTCGATTTCATCCTGGACACTACAGAAAAGGGGCTAAAAGTGTTAAAAACCGGAATTTTCCTTTAACATCCTCAAAGTTACATATGAGGATCTGAACAATAATCAAAGGAATAAAGGAAAGAAAAGTAGAAAGTTTTTAGTTTTTGGTCTGAGTAACTCATGAAATTTGAATAAAATACAGTATGTATATTAAGCCTAAAAAACTCAAGAGAAAACAGAAATAAACTGATGCAAAATATTGTGAACCTTATCAAGTTCACAATACTTTGAGTGTATGCAGAATTTTTGAACTTTTGGTTTGGTTTCTTTATCCCGTTTCCACTTATAAACTTTTTTTTATTATTGATGTGTCGCAATTATTATTCATGTAACCTACTGTACCGCTTCCCATGTGGTTACCAGTTCTCTATCGTTTTGACACATTTTAGTGTTGAAATGCCAGTCATCTAATTCAATTGTTTTAATTTCTATGGCACTATATAACCCATGTTGGTAATCTTTTCGGTGGTGTCATAATGCATTATTTGCATCTCATCTTTACATCTTTGGGACCTTCTTTTCTTTGTTTCAGATCATCTTTCCTTACTCTCCAGCAACCTTTTCTCTTTCATCCTTCTCTTTTTGTCTTTCCTTCCTTGTGTCCTTTCATAATTACTTAGGTTCTCCTTGTCATTTCCTTCTTGGCGCTCTTAGCATACTACCTTTTTTTCCTGGCTGTTTATTTTCTTGTGTCCTTATTTTCCTGAAACTCCACTATGAAAAGTTAAACCCTTAGCTGTTAATGGTGCTGATGTTGGATCATGTTTTGTTTTGTAGCTTCAAATCTGTGTGAAGTCATTAGCCTAAGTTTAAGTCAATTAAATACGTATGTTTTTACTTTCTTTCTACAATAACTACAATTTTTCTGTTTTTCACTAAAACCATCTCACAAAATAATAATAATAATAATTCCCAGCCATCACTCTGGCCAATTCTGGCAAGAAAAGTTGCTACTGGCTGTCTTGAAGTTACTAAATGATGTTTTATCCAGGTGGGATTACATTTGCAGCTGAGTCTGACTTCCTGTTGATGCTTTAGAGAAGTGGGGGGGACTCGCAGCAGCCCTCACTGCTAACTGAAGACTGTGAAAATCAGAACACTCGCTACTTTCAACACAGACAGACCGAAAAAGTAGATAGATTTGTCGTTAGGTGCTATTTTCAAAGTAGTTGGCTAGAGATGTCTGTAGAATTGCTAATATAGTTGCAAACTAGTTGCATGTCCTTAACTCACCTGCTCCTTGTTCTGTCAGAACAGAATACGCCGTCAGGTTTAGGTTTTTATCCAATATAAATGAATTCTGAGTCACAGCCAAAGTTTCCTATGATTTTAAACAAAAAAACTATTTCTAACCAAATTTCCATTCCTGCACATACATTTTTTACTTATGTCTACAAAAGTAACTTAATTTAAATTATTATTAACTTATTTGGTTTTAGCTCTAGATCAGCGGTGGGCAATTCCAGTTCCTGAGGGCCCCTATCCTGCAACTTTTAGATGTGTCTTTGGTTCAGCACACCTGAATCAAATAAGTAGATGATTGAGAGGACTCTGGAGGAAGTGAATGCATACTAAGGAGGTAACCGAGCCATTTCTAAAAGTTGCAGGATACCGGTCCCCAGGAAGTGGAATTGCCCACCCCTGCTCTAGATGCTTCTTCTTTCAACATCCCAGAAATGTCAATCTTGTCTGGCCGTTTCTGCATCCAAGTAATAACAGTATAAACAAAGTTGACGGGGGTTAGGCTGGTCAATACACTGTTGCTAAAATTAAATGTGGGAATAGTTCTCTGTTGCGCATGTGCACGCTTGTGTATTGAACAATGTATGGCAATCTGACCGCTTATGTTGTTCTAATAGAATACCGACAGGAGGGAAGAAACAGGTCAGTTGTGCGGGCCCAGGTTAGAGTAGCAACCAGAACCAGCCCTTCCAACTAATGGCTAAAAACAATTAGCCAAGAAATTTTTCATATAGGATTGATACTTATGTTGCCTCAACATATTTTCCTATTGTTTTTTTTAATTAACCAAACCTCCTATTCCAACCAAATGGTTCGGCCGCTTCATTAAAATTTTCATAAAATACATAAAACCTGTATTATTAAAGGTAGAGGCAGGAAATATGTAGCCTGAACCTTCGTTCCTAGGACAGGGCATAGGAAGTGTAGGCAATTCCAGTTCCTTAGCGTCGGTATCCTGCAACTTTTAGATGTGCCTTTGGTTCAACACACCTGAATCAAGTAATTAGATACACATACAGAAGTCAGTTGGGATTGGAGTCTATTATGCCATATATTTAGGACAAGAAAAAGTGAAAATATTTCTATTTGTAAATGCAAAATGTGCTGTCAGTTACAAATAATTCAATAAAGACACTCCTTTTTAGCACAATAAGGAGTGTCTTTATTGAATTATTTATAAACGCTTTAGATCCTGCAAACGTTTAAAGAAACCACCCAAAGTAAACTGGTTCAGACCTTGAAGTGGACATTTAGCCGCAGGGTTTAGGTGAATTACCGCATGATGACCAATTCCAAAACAGCAAAGAGACTGGCTTGTCATGTTGAAGTAAAAGGGCAACTTCAAACCCAAGTTTACTCTAATCAAGCTGCTCTCGTCGGGCAGCCTAAGGCACAGCATGACAGAAAAGAAGCAGTTCATTCTCTGACACATGCAGAGCAGACCAGGGAGGGAATGTGGCATTATTGGCTTAGAGACTAGTAGACATACTGATATATTACTATGGACGGGAGAGCCCCCTGTTCATCCAGACCACCTGCTGCTGACTCAAATACTTAAATATAACCAAGGCAGGCCCTCATAGATGTTCTGATCAAAAACAAAAACTATCAGTTTGCTTTAAGATGAGGCATGCATACCGATTTTAGTACGACAGTAGCTGATGTAGACACTCACTGTACTCAAGTACTCGTCATAGATTAATTCAGTGATCCATGGTTTTGATTGCTGACTCTTTTTGCAGAGGATAGATGTGGACCACTTTTTGGAACCCATGGAAATAACTTTAAAAAAGCCTAAGCAACCCCATAACGCTATTTAATCTGCAACTTAATCTCATAAACAATTATTTTTTTTTATTTAGTTGGGAGAATTATCATTTTGAGAAATTATTTCATAATAACACCAATTGTAATCTTAGCTTTCATTTTTTATTTCATTGTGCTCTCTCCTCCTGAGCGAACCGCACAGTGGCTACTGTATGTTTACATGCACAAAAACATTCCAGAGGAATTCCAAATCTCCATTTATATGGATACTAGATGAAATGATCTGGTACCAAGCATTTGACTAGATTAAATAATTTTAACGCAGTGGAATTGTCTAATTTTCCGGAAACACTTTAACAGTAGAAGAAGAAACTACCTGTTTTGTAAACAAGCTTGTACTTGTCCGCTCATCCTCAGCTTTCAGAAGGAAATTTATTTTTTATCGAATTGAATCGGGTTAGAATCTTCAGTCTTAATCTTTGGTCTGATGATCAAGCCTTCAATCCAATTATTTGTTTCCATAGAAACTTAGAATAGTTTTTCTTCTAGATCCAAGATTACTAAAATACCCAGTTGACAACCCGTTTTCGTTTTTTTTTTTTTTTTTTTTTTTTTTTTTTTTTTTATCATTTGACAAGATTGCTTCGATGGAGAAACGGGCCCACAGCATTGCAGAGCCTACACCGTACTTAGACTGGGCATGAACCTCTTTTCTATGGTTCTCTAAATCAAAACCCAATGAAAATATTTGTTGCAAAAAAAGCTTTTTTTTTTTATTCATCTGACCAAAGCAACCAATAATTTTGCTTTTGGACATTTTCACTATAAAATAAATGAACTGAAATTAGAGATTGGGTCTAAATTCTCCACTGGAATGACATAACCTTTTTCAAGGCTGTCTTTTTTTTAAACGGGGAAGTAAAAAGTGCATTGTGTCTGTCCTTGTTTTTTTTTTCAATGTTATATTAAATAGACACCGATTACTCTCCAATTGCGTAAACAATTTAAATCTAATTTTAACCCGATTTATTTTCTGATAAGGTATAGTTAATAAGAAAATACCTGTATGATCAGGAGTTGCTATGAGGCCAAAGAGAGTTCTTGTAGCCTGTGTTTTACTGTTACTGTTTACTGTAATTGACTAATTTTAGGTTAAGTTTGTTTAGCTTAATAAAAATGAGGAGAAATTATGAAATGAAAGTTTTTTTTTTTGTCAAACTGATGCATGTTTCTCTCTGTCCGGTGGGATCCAGCCTACATCGAGGACGTTGCACGCTGTGTGGATCAGAGCAAGCGCCTCATCATCGTCATGACACCCAGCTACGTGGTGCGGAGGGGGTGGAGCATCTTTGAGCTGGAAACGCGGCTGCGCAACATGCTGGTGACGGGCGAGATCAAAGTCATCCTGATCGAGTGTGCCGAGCTACGCGGCATCATGAACTACCAGGAAGTGGAGGCCCTGAAACATACCATCAAAATGCTGACGGTCCTCAAGTGGCGCGGCCCTTCCAGCAACAAGCTCAATTCCAAATTCTGGAAGCAGCTGCTCTATGAGATGCCCTTCAAACGCATGGAGCCCCTAAGCATCTCCCACGAGCAGGTGCTGGACGTGAGCGAGCAGGGCGCTTTCGGAGAACTCCAGACTGTTTCAGCCATCTCCATGGCAGCGGCCACCTCCACCGCCATGGCGACGGCACACCCAGACATTCGTTCGACCTTTCACAACTCATGCCACACCCAGATGAGGCAGAAACACTATTACCGTAGCTACAACTACGACCTGCCACCCGGCGGCACGCTCCCGCCGCTCTCCTCACTAGGCAACCAGCACACCTACTGCAACATCCCCATGACGCTCATCAACGGACAGCGGCCGCAGTCCAAGTCGCCGCGCCAGCAGAGCATGGAGGAGGCCCACGCCAACAACGCCATGCTGCCGCTGCTTCCTAGAGAGACCAGTATATCGAGCGTCATCTGGTGACAGATCCGCCGGCAGTCAGACCCTGAATCCTCCAGAACCAGACGGAGCCGAATGGCCCTAAGGAAACTCGCTGCTGTTCTATTTGCACCGGAAAACAACAAGTGGGGGAGGGGGCATTAAACACACTGGACAAAACTGAAATTGAAAATGGTGACGGCGACTATTTCTCGTTTTGTTTTAGTCTAATAAGAGCTTTTATTAAAACTGATCAGCAACAAAAGATTTTAAAAAAAGGAACCGAGGAGAACTTTTTTTTTTTTTTTTTGTATGCCTGTAAAAACAAGTAACACAAGCCAACACCTGTCATAAATTAACGCGATAGTCGAGGAAAACAGGGTCCTGTACATACGTTTCTTTTCTAATTCTTTGTAGCAACAGTGTTTGGGACTTGTTTCATTATGTTTTCTCATCGGTTGGGAATCTTTATTTTCCTTGTTTTGTTTCAGTTTGTACTAAAGTGAAGCAATGGCCTGTATGACGTGTTGGTAGAACTGTTGTTACCTTTATCTTAATTTGTTAACTGGTGTAGTTTCTAATGCTTTTGGTGGGTTTTTGTTTCTTGGGAGGGGGGATAGTTTGGAGTTACGGTCCTCTGGAGAGGGATGAGAGTTTGGGCTCAACCAGAATATGCAAAATTTAGAGTCCAGATGACAGGATAACGATGGGTTTTCAACTCCGATCATGTCTGAACGTTATTGGAAGAAGACTATGGTGCTAGGCTTCACATCTCTCTCTCTCACTGCGACATTTCCTCTTAAAGAGCAACCTTGCTATTTACCTTAACAGAAGATTATATCACTGAAAAGTAATGATGTGTATTATTTTATGAAAAAAGAAAAGTATATTTTTGTAACTGAGGGATACTTGCTAATAGAAGTTCTATGTATGACATTTCTGATGGAAGTGATTGGAAAAACAGATATATTAAAAAACTGTTTTATGGGGAACTGTTTAGCTCGGGGAAAAAAAAAAATCAAAGGACGACTCATTGATGTCTTTTACTGTGAGATAGAAGAGCGTCTAAAGGAGGAGTTTTGACATTTTGATTCAGCTCAGCAGACTTTTTCTATCACGATTGCCGATTTCATTGTCATTGCAGCAGCTCGCCGCCAGTTTAACAGGGATGGAGCTATCGATGATGTCAGCGCGGATGAAGGAGAAAGCCATCGTCACTCTACCCAGTTTCCACTACAGGACCAAACAAGGCTGTCCAGGGCTAAATCATTATCCGTTATCCATTTCCTCCTAAATGACAGCCCTGTTTTTTGTTTACCATCATGTTTCCTTGCAGAACACTTTAAGGCAGCATCCGGTATTTGCTAAACGACGAGATTCCTTTTCATATTGAGTCAGAAAATGTCTACAGTGCCTTGAAAAAAAAAGAGAAAGTTCACACGGATTTAAATTTGTTTTGGTAACACAAAAGTAGTTCAAAATAGAGAAGTGGAAGAAAGAAAAGTATGGCTGATTGTTCAGATCTGCAAAGCGTGGAACCAGTTTGTATGTTTGATGAGGAAAAGCCTCCCCACAGCATGATGCTGCCAACGATATGTGTACTTGTGCGTGCTCATGTGCTTGTGAAATGTCATCATCAGCCCTAGTAATGTTCGAATTCACAAGAACACAAGACAGAGAACGGACAAAATACCTGGATGGTGTTCTGGCCCCTCCCTATTTAACGAGTATGCATCAGAGCAGACTTGTCCGTTCTTGAGATTGACAGCTGTCCCAGCAGGCACCGCAGCAGCAGCTTCCAGTGGAGCGTTAATAGAGCTCAGAGTATTAAATTAAAAATTCTCTTTTCTGTTTGAGGAGAGAACATTATACTTTTAAGCATCACGATATGGATCCATTTACTTATTTATTGCTTGATTTAAAAAAAAATCCAGCTGTTGAGAGGACCGCCGTAACCAGGCTTACAGCAGCCAGGGCGAACCTTAGCCCGTCTGCAGCAGCCCTCTCTCTGCATAGCCGTTTATCGCTCTGATGGTGATTTCTTTGTTTTATTCGGCAAAATGTTTATTTAGTTTATATTTATCTGATTGTGTTAATTATTATTCCCCATTAAAAGAAAAAAAGTAAGAATTTATTATTATCTAGAGACTATAAATAGCAGGAGATGAAATGCAGCTCCAGAAATGCAGCTCCAGACAAGCTGAGCGTCCTTTTTATATTGACCCATATTTATGCTCCCGTTCTCCCCAAGTCCTTACGTTCCTATGTTCTTCTCAAGAACATACTTGGCGAGGACACAAATCCGTACTCGTGTTCTTGTGAATCTAGAAACGGCCCATGTTCACAGTGGAAATGGTGTGAACATGTGTATTTTTTTTTTTTTTCTCCACACAGCCTACCTTCTACTTTCCCTCTGTGTCCTCGCTGGGCAAATGCAGTCCCAGCATAATACTCCCCCCTACCTGTTTCAATATGTGCAAGCTTTATTCAGGGATATGTTGTAGTTTTACTTCTCAATTTAGCCATTTCTAACCAATTTTGAGCAGCTTCCATGGTCCTGCAAGAGAACGTCCCCACAGCATGTTGCTGCCACTGCCATGTATGTCAGTGGGTTTTGCATCTTGCAAGTTTTTCTCCATTTGCAAAATAACTTTTTCTTACAAATATGGGCTGGCCAGTTTTCAGCAATGCTGCTTCTACATAAAGTCCATATTTGTTGAGTTTAATTGTTCCAGTTAACAAATGAATCCCACCTGAGCGTGGATCCCTGGTGCTCCTCCAGAGCTACAAGTTCCCAAGATGAATGTTCTCATCATCTTCACATTTTTTTAGTCTTTGTTGATGAATAAAGTGACTTTAGAAAGGAACAGGTTAGTCTGAATTTCCTATTTAAGGGTACCGGGAAAGAAACATATTAGGAATGTATTTGAGAAACCTTGACAAAGTGTGGAAAAGATTTAGAGATGTGAACAGTTTTTCGAGGCACTGTAAACCTTTTCAAGACTGATCTCGTAAAACGTATATCACTTAATATTAACATAGAATTAACCTTTAAAATTGAGTTATATATTATTTTAATAGGCGGTTAATAAATGTAGAAGGAATTACCTTTAAAAGCAGTAGCCTTTTAGAATTCTAAATGCGGTATAGTTCATGGATGATGCTAGTCAAGCTGTGGTTTATAACTACTTTAGACCAAAGCAGGCTAATGGAAGCAGTTCTCATTTTCAAAAAGTCAGTTACCTCCCATCCTGATCGGTACCACTCCATCCGATCTCACCTCGCCTCCCATCCGTGACGATGGCCTGTTTTCTCAATCCACCTGTGCCACATATCTTTTAAGTTTTTATGGGAAATAACTTCAACATCTCAAGACGATTCATTTTGTGCCATAAAATATGCAAAGTGATGAATTTGTAAAATGAAAAATGTTCCTTTCCCCTCCTCTAATGTTTTGCTTTTTAATCTTTCTCTGTATGAATTGAGGAAAGGGCCTGGATTGTTTTTTTTTTTTTTTGTCTTTATAATTTATTTAAGTGTAAAATGGCACATTTGCATTTAAGATTGTTTTAATCAGAGCCTTTATTTTACACTGTTTCCTCCAAGGTAAAGAACCAAGGTGTTTTTCACGGGCGCTGTATTGAAACAGAGCTCAGATATGGCAAATGTGTAAATAAAACCTAAACAATATAAAAATGAAGACAATCGAGCCATATTCATGGAAAGGTCATCATTCACAGGGCTTCTCGGAGCGTAACCATTAATCCTCACTGGAGTTCAACTCCAACGTCTTCTGTGAAAGCTCAAGCTTTGAGAAACTCTGTGGATACAGCGACAATAACGCTTTAGGTTTGTGATTAAATCGAACATTTCTGATGATGAGGCTTTGATTGGAAAGGTCACGACGAGGGGTAATATTAATGAGAATATATAGCACAGAGTTTATTCCAGGCACTTTCATGACTTGAGACGACGTCTCTGTTTTTCTGATTTATTTTCTATTATGTATCTGCAATGTTCATTAAAAGAGATACCGTTAATAATAAAACCACATTTATGGTAATGGTGTTTCTCAGTGTGTGTGTGTGGAGAGAGTTGTGTGATTATTTGGTCAAACAAACAAGCAAAAGTAAACACTCGTTGTGTTTAAGTAGAGGCCAAGTGGATTGCTGACGATGCAACGAACTGCATTTTTTTTTTTGGCGGAGAGCCGATGCAGCCCCTCTTTCCGCCTCGACTGCTGTAACTCTTCTTGTTTTTAAAAGAAAACCTTGAAAAAAAAAAAACTAAGTAATTCTCCTTATTCCACTCGGAGGCTGAATCAGCCTGGCCTCATTCTGAAATGGTAATAAATCAGGGGAGTTGCAATGCATTGAGAGGCGCTTTAAGATGCACGGTGTCCTGATTACCGTCTGGCCTCAGGGCACACAAGCACCTTCAGCTCTCTGCAGCAGGGAATAAACTTGTTGTTCATGTGGAAATTGCATAATTCCTTTCATGTTTTTGAAGTTGCGGCACACTGGCAAATCTCAGTAAGTTAGATTACCACTTAATGGCAAAATTGATTTCACTTGAAATAAAGAAGGGTCAGGCCACATTTCAATTGAATTCAGTTTATTTCTATAGCGCCAATTCACAACACAAGTCATATCAAGGCACTTTACAGTTTAACCAGATCATCCAGTCAAATTGATTCAAAGTTTTCTATCTAAGGAAAACCAGTTGATTGCATCAACTCATTGACTCAAATGAAATCCCTCGCACTAAGCATGCTTGTAGCGACAGTGGAGAGGAAAAACTCCCTTTTAACAGGAAGAAAATTAAAATATAACATAGAAAATGATGTTAAAATTGCAATGTTATTTTTTAATGTAATGGAAAGTTTACTGGAAGAAAAAAAAGATTATAGAAAAACTTCCATGACCACTGGGAAAATGAAATTCTTAGTGAGGGTTGAGTTCAAGTACCATACAAAACTACACCAACGACTGATGGTGTATCAAAACTTCTCTACGCTGGAAACGCCTCCACCGATAATTTTGTATTTCACCTAGAGAGGCAGCAAAGTGTCAGGATGCACCTAGTCAGCAGGAAATCTCCTTAAGAAGAAGAGGTCTCTGCCTGCATTACAAGTTATACTTTTAATTTGTTGGTGTTTTCTCACTGATGATGTTTCATAATGTAAAAAAAATACAGTAGTATTACACAATTAAACGGAATTGGCCTGTCCAGCAGACAGTTTGCGACCAAATCATCCGTTTTCAGACCCTTTTGCTCCGTCAGGGCAGGCCATCTGAAAAGAATCTCTTAAATACTCAGTTTTCCTTTCTGTCCCACTTTCTCTCCTCTTTTCAACTACAACTTCTCTTTTTTCAGGATTTTTTTTCAGCCATTGATGCTCCAGTTTACAGAAAAGAGGGAATAGCTAAAAAAAAAAAAAAGCTTTAGCAACAAACAAGGGATATAGGAGTACTTCTTCGTGCGTTGGCGTAGTGGCGGACCGCTGGCCAAACAGCATAAGAGTTACAGTATGTTCGGAGCATATGGTGGCACGTATGCAATTTGTTTGATTGATAAACAAGAAGCCAATCCACTTTCAACAGTTTTGCAGGCCCCACCACGGCAAGAGTTGATGGATTAATTTTTTTTTACTTTGCGAAACCATAAGTGCAAGAATGCTAGCCATCAATAGTTGTTTTTCAGTTGTTTTTCGTCCAGTTTGTATGTGGGCTTCATATGAAAAATTCATTAGATTTTAAATTTTTGGCTTTTTTTCTTATGACATGGAGACTTTAGTTGATGTTAAAGGTACCCAAAAATTGTACTCAAGTTATAGTGAAACTAAAAATAGTCATCCAAGAAAGTGCTTGAGTAAACCGATATGTGATAAGAAGATGTAGTACTCAGTAATGATGCAGACAGACTTTATGTTCAAATTCTGGTATTTTAAAGACTGATGTCATGATGTAAAACAACAAATTCCTGCAGAAGAAATACTTTCACCATATCATTTTCCCCCATATACAACTCACTAGCATATTTTAGAGTCAACCTCATGTTGAAAACATCTGCATTTATTTGCCATCTTGTTCTTGTCCAGAGAGGAAGAACATTGCTGTCAGGTTCTACATAATGTAACACACGTGCTTCAGATGAATGAGTTAATTAGTGCTTGTTTAATCAATGTTAATTAAGGGAGGATGCACCATGCTCCACATCAATGATTTGTCCCATCAAGGTTCAGGAGGCTTCCACTCCTGAAATGGGAGGTTTCTGCAAAACTGACAAGCATTTTCGTCACGGATTGATGGTATATATTTACTATCTGATAAAACTGACATAAGATATTATTTATGCTTCAGCCTTGGTTGTTTTCATTTCATTTATCTCTCTTTATTTTTGTTAGTTTACATTGTTTACATGAAGGGAAAGAATCTCACCGTCAAATGTCAGTTTGCAGCTGAAACATTGTAGGATTGTTTTGTACATTCATTGATTTACGCAATTTGCATGTATTAAATTAGGAGCGCTTCCCCACTCTGCACCATGGTCCTTCCACCACCTTTCATGGTGAAAGTAGGGTGTTCAGTC